TATCCTTTATTTCAATAAGTTCCTTGGTTCTAGAGAATTGTTTTCTCTTTCTTTCTTTAAGATTTTGTTTGTTTATTTTCAGAGAGGGGAAGGGAGGGAGAAATAGAGGGAGAGAAATATCAATGTGTGGCTGCCTCTTGCACAGCCCCTACTGGGGTGTCCTGCAACCCAGGCATGTGCCCTGACTAGGAATCAAACTGGTGACCCTTTGCTTTGCAGGCCAGCACTCAATCCACTGAGCCACACCAGCCACACAGGGAAGAATTGTTCTCTTTTTATTCCAACGCCACCTGCCTGCCTGCTTTCCCACAACCCCACTTCTTCCCTTTTGTGTTAATTTTGACTGGGATGAAGTCATTGTGACTTTCCCCTTTGTGAGAGAACCCATTCAGGTTCACAGTCCTCTTCTTAGAGTTTTCATGTTGTTGCTTTTAGCCCTTGGCCCTACTTGCTTGAAACTTTACTGCTACAGGGAGAATTATTGTCTTTAACATAGCATATGCTGAAGAAGCCGGAGGACAAGAAGCAGCTAGGAGATTTCTTTGGCATGTCCAACAGTTATGCTGAGTGCTACCCAGCCACGTATGTGAGACTCTGTTAAGGGAGGCTGGCATGATGGGAGAAGTTTGGGTGGGAGTAGGGGGATGGGGTAAGGGGAAATTTGATTTGCTGGGATCCATAAGTACTTTTACTTGGATGAACCATTCTGTTAGGCTCTGGGTGGGAGGTCTAGGGGGATGGTCATTCCTAGGCATATAGTTTCTTACTGGGATAGGTTTGCAGATGGAGCATAGGAGTATGGGTCTGCACCATCTGTTCAACTTGCTTCTCTTTAGGATGGACGACATGGCTGTAGACAGTGACGAGGAGGTTGATTATAGCAAAATGGACCAGGTATGGAGTTATAAGGATGGGTGGAGGCTGTCGGGCAGTTCACTCTGTAGTACATTTCCCATTTCTCCACTCCAAAAAGATCTGTGTCTCGTTTACTTGTCCTCATCTTCCCTCAGCTTCAGTAATGGGATCAGCAGCATTGTGGGGCCATGGGCTGCCTGTTTCAAAGTGTTTGTATGAAATCAAGTGAGATAGAACCAAAAATAGATTTCTTTATTATTTCCCACAACGTGCGAGGCTGTAATTTCTATCCTAGGCAGTAAGCAAGTCTTAGTGCATTAGTAGATAGGGCAGAAGGAATTGCAGTCTTTTGAAAATAATGAAGTTTATTCTAGTTTATCCACCAGTATTGGAATTTTTCTCCAACTCTTAAAACAGAACAAACAGACATTAATGGTAAAGAAATTTCATCTACTATTTCTTTGTTCTCTCTGCACTGTAGTGGTTAAGAGTATGGTTTAATGCTGTCATGGAGCCTTGTTTAACCCTGGCTCTGCCATTTATTAGTTTTATGACCTTGCCAATTTATTTTACTGCTTATGCCTCAGTTTCATCATCAGGAAAATGGAAAGAAATGTATTTTAATAGTGTTTTTGAGAGAATGAAATAATATAGGTATGTAGTGTTAAGAATAATGCCTGGCACATAATAAATGCATAGGTAAGCATTTTATTGTTTTGTTGTTGTTGTTGTTTTTGTTGTTAAGGTAGGGTTTATAAATGAGGCAATCTGGGATTGTGGGAGAGCCTGGCTTTAATCAAGGGCTAAAATTCCATTTCTCCTGACATCTCTTCCTCCCTGGTCTCCCATTCTGTCCTGCAACAGGGTAACAAGAAGGGCCCCTTGGGTCGCTGGGATTTTGATACCCAGGAAGAATACAGCGAGTATATGAACAACAAGGAAGCTTTGCCCAAGTGAGTTGGTACTAAACACAGCCAGGGTGTGAGGAGTGGAATGTGATGGGTGGACTAGCTCCACACCAAGGTAGAGGGTGTCGTCTGGCTGAGACGTTTCCATGTAGCTTCTCTGCTCACAGGGCTCTCTGGGGTCCCCTTGCTAGTTCTATGCAACTGATGCCACTTCTCCCAATCTCCCTTTTTTCCCCTCAGGGCTGCATTCCAATATGGCATCAAAATGTCTGAGGGGAGGAAAACCAGGCGCTTCAAGGAAACCAATGACAAGGCAGAGCTTGATCGCCAGTGGAAAAAAATTAGTGCGGTAAGCTGGACTGCCTCTTTGGTGGGAGGGTTTCAACTGGGAGGAGACACTGGTCCACCCATCCAGGAATAGAAAAGGGGTGGCCAAGCCATGGAAGTTGGGGACAGGTCAGCCTTGGCCTCAGGTGACCTTAAGCTGGCATTGTTAGAACTGTCCACCCTAACTCCTTCTTGCAGATCATTGAGAAGAGGAAGAAGATGGAAGCCGATGGGTGAGCACCATATTCATCCTCTGTAGGACTGGGGAATTGCTTAGTTTGTTGATCTTATGCTGACTCATTTCTCCTCTTGCAGGGTTGAAGTGAAAAGACCAAAATACTAATCTTTAGTTCCAGTTCCAAGAACAGTCTTTACAAGGATATGCTGCTCCTCACTGCTTGCTTTCTACAATTTCCAAAGAAGTTGCAAGGTTTCCCCCCCCATGAATGTATATAAAATGTTGTATAATCATTTGGTTTCATTAAAATTGGTTAACCTCCTGCCTCTTCTGTATTGAGCATCCCCCACTCCAGGGCCCCTGAGGCACCAAGAGGGCTATTACTTCTACTGATTGTATAAAATCACATGCAGAAAGTCAGCCTAGTCCTTTCTGGAGCTATGGTCTGGATCGCTAGGCAGTAAGGATCCTTACTAGCCAGGGTGCCCAATGGCCAGTGGAATGGCCCTCACTGATGAGCAAGAGATGGATAGAGGAAGTAAGGATGGTTGGTCTCAAATGTCAGGCTCATTCAGGCACATTTGGGGGCCTACTCTTGGGGCAGAGATTCCCTGGGCATTAGGGTCAGCTCAGTGGGCTGCCAGTCTGATCCCAAAGTTGTACATGACGGTGCTAGGTGAAGACACCTGATGAGAATCACTTATGGAAACAAAAACCTTTTATGAATTTATGCTCTCCTGGGGGCTTTAGTAATTCTAAGCACACATCACTGCTTTCCTGGCTGAGGGGATAACCTTGAGGAAGTACTTTGAACCTCTGTGCTAGGCTCAAAGATTTTGGTGTGCCCTTCAACACCCTGTAGTTTACTGATGCCCAGGGTGGGCTTCCTGGTGCCCTCCAAATCACCCAACCCTGCTTTTTTCTTTCTCTCTACCCATTGCCAGCATTTGCCTCTCATATATTCATACTATCTGTTCCAAGCCTAGAACCTGTGTGCTTACCAAATTCAAAGAAAGCTAGAGGGCCACCGCAGCCATTGCTTTTGGTCACTTTAATCTTGATAGGGCCAGGGCGTTTAAGAGGCTGAAATCGAATCTTGTTTGAAATAGTACCTAGAGTTTCAGGTGGTAGATGACACCCAGGTTCCACAGTTGTAGGTAGCAGTCTCAGTGAGGAAGAAGGCCATAGGGACCTGGCTGAAATGAAGATACCTAGAAGGTCCTAAAGATGAAGACCTGGGGGGGTGACTGCCAGTTTAAAATCTACAAGTACCACCAATTCTTGTGACAAAGACCCTGTGGTCGGCAACCTAGTGACAAGAACTCCCATATAACCTCTGAGGTCCTAACTCGGTTAAGGCAACTGGGAATCAGCATATGGGATGTCTTAGAAGGTTTAATACCCCAGTGATGTGAGAGGTTCTCTTCAGCCAAGGGAGCCCCTGCTGCTCATCTGCCCTACTGTGCATGGCGCTCCTGTCTGTAGAACCTTTGTTAACTGGAATGTCCAGAACGACTGTGCCCATTTTCCTCTTTAGCAACTTCTTGCCAGCTCCGAGCACTGCTGGCCTGGCCCGCTGAGGGACGGTCTGCAGCCTAACTGCAGGAATGGGCACGATGCTGTTTGTTCAGCCATGAAGATGTTGCACATGGAAGGCAGCAACTAATGCACATGCATGCACAGGGCTCCATGACCCATCGTGTGCAATCCTTGTGGTGTGGGCCTTTACTTCTTCCTGACCGACTTGGCTAGTGCTTGTTGCAGTCATGGGTTTCACCAAGCCATGAGCTACTGGAGTTCCTCTCTCTGATCCTGAGAGCATTTAGCCTTCCTTTTACTGGTTGGGGAGGTGGACTGAAAATGGGGTTCTATAGACAGTAATAACCTCACAGGCTTACCTGATCTTATAAGTTCCTAAGTGGCAGGTCATGATGGGTAGTCACACCCCAGGCATACTATGACTTTAGTAAAAGGTTTATCTTTGCCTTGAGGAAACCCTGTGCATTGTTTCTGTGCATCTAGGTTAACACATCTTTGAAATGATCATCCTCAAGAGAGCACATAATCTTAACGATCCTATACCAGGGGTGTCAAACTCATTTTCACAGGGAGCCGGGTGGGGGGCACATCAGCGTCGCAGTTACCTTCAAAGGGCTGAATGTAATTTTAGGACTGTATAAGTGTAACTACTCTAGGGGCAAGGAGCTTGATGCTGCCACTGGGTAGAAACAGGGTGCTGAGCTGGATAAAACAAGGTGGAGGGCCGGATTCACCCTGCAGGCCTTGTGTTTGCCACCTGTGCTACAATCCATTGCCCGTCTTGCTTTCTTCCACTTTTATGTAATCTTGCTTACATTCCCTCTTCAATTTTAAATACATTTAAAAAGTTGCAAAATCGTCATTCTCCGGAACATTTAAGATCCTGCTCCCTCGTATATGCCTTCCGTTTGGCTCAAATAAACTCAAAAACATTCTCTACAAGTTTGAATGTTTCTTAGGTTGGCAAGGAGGTTGTACCAAACTCAGCATGGGTCAGAATGAGGAGGAAAGACGGGCATGCGATCTAGCAGACCTAGAGATAGGTGGTATCAACACAGGAAAGTAATGGACCACAGGGGCGTGGCCTGTGGAGTCTGTCCCGCCCACACCAGCTGGGCGGCCCCGCTCCTTCCTGGTTACGGAGAAAGCCTGGAGCCACATCCCGCCCCACCCCCTCTCATCCGCCCCGCGAGCGGAAGTGGTGCACTTAGCCTCTGACTACTGCCGGGTGAATGGGTGTTGGGCTCTTTGCTCCACTGCAGTGCACTGGGATTCTTCTCGTGCATGGATCGCGCGTGTGAGGAGAGGTCCGAGGAAGATAGGGGCGGCGAGGACTCCGACTCCCCGGAAGTACCGGCCAGTATCCGGGACACTCCCGAAGACATCATTTTGGAAGCGCCAGCCAGTGGGCTGGCGTTCCACCCGTCCCGTGACCTCCTGGCGGCGGGGGACGTAGACGGGGACGTGTTTGTGTAGGTGCACGGTAGGACCGGGGACGAGGTCGCTGCTGGGTCAGGAAACTCCCCAAGTACGCAGCTGGGAGGCGAGTGCAGGGAGAAAAATTTTGCAAGACTCATGTATCTGATTCATTAATATTCGGCTTTAAACAAGTTACCGCACGGATCTCTTGAATACAAGACGACGAAGTGGCTGTAGTGTCGTGAGGGAGCATAGAGATAGTAAATACCAGGACAAGAAGGCTTTTGGGGCACTATTTCCCACCAGATTATTACACTGAGCCTGAAACAAACTCAGCAGGACCTACTTTTGTTTCTTGTTTACTTGATTTTTTGAAAACATAAGCCCGACCACCTCGCTTCCTTGATTAAATCTTTGAATAGTTTACTTTGCTTTTAGGATTAAGTCTAAAATCCTTGACCCTCTGGCCTTTGCTTGCTTTCTCCTCTAGTTTCTGTGCTTATTCATCCTTACCTTTATATCTTGAAGCCTCAGCTCCTTTGCACGTTATTCTTTCTGCCTGGAAAACTCCTTTCCCCTCACTAGTATCTCCCATCTCTGAGTGCCTAGCATCTCTTCACTGTTCCACATGCCCCAGACTAAATTAGATTACCAGTTAGATGCTGCTTTGGCACCAGATGTCTTTTCCCTTACAAACTTCATAATGGTTTGTAATCATACATCGGTTTGTAATTTGAGTTTTTGTCTCATTCACTAAAAAAGTGTGACTGTTTATTAAGCAGCCTTTTCATGCTAGGCACTGGGATGGAGCAAACAATAAATAGGCCCAGTTCTGCCCACCTGAAACTCAGTGGCAATTAAGTACTTATTCATTTGGCCCTTTTAAGGATGAGGCAGGCAGTGGGGATACGCATTGGACAGGTGCTTTCTCTTGCTGAGTTTACAAGCTGGTGCCTCTGTTCCACATCCATTTTGAGCCTGGCTTCTTTTCACTGTGTGGTCACAGTGTGCTGTAATGAACTGTGGCTTTCTCTAGCTCCCTAAGACCTGGAGTGCAAGAGCCCTGTCTTACTGATGGTTTGTGTTTCTAGCTTCTAGGGCTGTCCTTCTGACACTCAGTTTAAAAAAATTTTTTATTTCCAGCAAGAGAGGGAGGGAGGGAGGGAGAAAGGGAGAGAAACATCAATGTGTGGTTGACTCTTGTGCACCCCCCCAACCAGGGACCTGGCCCACAACCCAAGCATGTGCCCTGACTGGGAATCGAACTGGTGACCCTTTGGTTCACAGGCTGGCACTCAGTCCACTGAGCCACACTAGCAAGAGCATGTTTTTGTTTTTGTTTTTAATTTTAAGAGAAGGAGAAAAATAGCAATCAGTTGGTTCCCTCTTGCACACTCCCATTTGGGACCCTGGTCTGTAACAAAGCATGTGCCCTTAGTGGGAATCAAACCAGCAACCTTTTGGTTTGCAGGCTGTTGCTTAATCCACTGAGCCACACCAGCCAGGGCATCCAAGGGTATTTCTATTGATTTTTTTAGAACGGGGGCAGAGAGAGAGAGGCATTCATATTAGAAAGAAACATCGATTGATTGCCTGCTGTACCCACCCCGACTGGGAATCAAACCCACAACCTACGCTTGAACCTGAAACCTTTTATTGTACAGGACAGCAATCCAACCAAGCCACCAGCCAGGGCCTGTCATTAACTTAACAAATATTTCTGGGCCTTCACAGTGGCCCCAACCTAATATTTTTTCAGGCTGGGGCTTGTAAGGATGATGAAGAGGGGTGGGTGACGTCACAAAGATGTCCCAAGCAAATGTACTTGGAATTACTATTTATCAAATGAGAAAAAGACCTAACATTTGAAGCTCACTGAAAATGGAAAAATGGGGTGGTAAGCTTTATGCTTAGAGCTGTACTCGCAGGAATTCCTAGGTAGGTGGTGCATGCCTGGCAGGGTCTGGGGTCATTCACTCTACTCCACCTCTCCCAAGGTTTTCCTACTCCTGCCAAGAGGGAGGAACCAAGGAGCTCTGGTCCTCAGGTCACCACCTCAAGTCTTGCCGCGCTGTGGTCTTCTCTGAAGATGGGCAGAGTGAGTATCAGGGAAGGCAATATGCTGGTGGGAAGGGAGTGGTGTGCAGCACCATGACCTGGGCATTTTTTTCCCCAGAACTTATTACTGTCTCCAAGGACAAAGCCATCCATGTTCTAGATGTGGAGCAGGGCCGACTGGAAAGGCGCATTTCCAAGGCTCATGGGTAAGGGGAGCCAGCTGTGTGCTGAGGTGAGGGGTAAGGACTCTACCTCCCTGCTAGGACAAACATGCTCCAATAACGTTATCATATGTGCCTCTAGTGCCCCGATCAACAGCCTGCTGCTGGTGAATGAGAATGTCCTAGCCACTGGGGATGACACAGGTGGCGTCCGGCTCTGGGACCAGCGGAAGGAAGGCCCTGTAATGGATATGCGGCAGCATGAGGAGTACATTGCTGACATGGCTCTGGACCCAGCCAAGAAGCTTTTGCTTACAGCCAGGTACAGCCTCAGAGCTACCTGCCCTCCCGTCCCTGTGTTAAATGTCTCCCTCAAGGGGAGCCTCTGGCCAAGGCTGCTGTTCTGCTTTCTCCACAGTGGGGATGGCTGCCTTGGTGTCTTCAATATCAAACGACGCCGGTTTGAGCTGCTTTCAGAACCTCAGTCTGGAGACCTGACCTCTGTCACAGTCATGAAAGTATAGCTGGGTATGGTGGCCTGTGGGTGTGCTTGGGACTTGGTCTGACATGGTCCACAAACATGGTTTGTCCTTTTTTCTCTGTAGTGTGGGAGGAAGGTGGCCTGTGGCTCCAGTGAAGGTACCATCTACCTTTTCAACTGGAATGGCTTTGGGGCCACAAGTGACCGCTTTGCCTTGAGAGCTGAGTCCATTGACTGCATGGTTGCAGTCACTGACAGTCTGCTGTGCACTGGGTCCACTGATGGCGTCATCAGGTGAGAGGGGCTAGGCCCTCAGGTCACAGGAAGGGTAGGCCCAACCAGCCAATACCCAACGCTCTTTTCCCTCCACCCAGGGCTGTGAACATCCTGCCGAACCGCGTGGTGGGCACTGTGGGCCAGCACACCGGGGAGCCCGTGGAGAAGTTGGCCCTCTCCCACTGCGGCCGCTTCTTGGCCAGCAGTGGCCATGACCAGTGCCTCAAGTTTTGGGACATGGCCCAGTCTCGGGCTGTGGTGGTAAATGACTACCGCCGGCGCAAAAAAAAGGGAGGGCCACTTCGGGCGCTGAGCAGTAAGGCCTGGAGCACTGATGACTTCTTTGCAGGACTAAGGGAAGAGGAAAAGGAGGAAGAGGAAAAGGAGGAAGAGGAGAGTGAGGACGACAGTGACTGAGGGAATGGGCTGAATCTGAAAGACAGGTCCTCACTGGGCAAGAGTCTTGCTTCCTGGGCTGAATCCCCAGAAGCTGTACAGATACCATACCCTCTTGTGCAGTATGCAGAGAGGGGCAGACGGCTCAGGACTGTGGAGAGGTCAGGCTGCTCACACTAGCAGTGTAAGCTAAGTCCACAGCTGGGGCAAGACGGCACAGACACAGGTGTACACCAACCAGGGGTTTAATATAAATACAACCAGCATAGGAAAACCAACAGTGCACGTACACCAAAACCAAAACGCCAAGTGGTGGGGACAAATGGCAGATTTCTGACCCTTTGGCTCAGCCATCCCCAAAATAAAAACCAACAAAGACAAATCAACAAAATGAGCAAAGATTCACGCTAAGCTGTGGGGGGAGACAGAGTGAGAGAGGCTGTGTGTGTCACACAGAAAGGCCAAGGAAAACCCTGTGCTGGGAGTGGGAGGGCAAGATCCCTCACCACAGCTTAGCCAAACCTGAGCTGTCCCCAGGTGCTCTGGGGCTGTGCCCCACCTGGGAGGCTCTGTCAGGCTCAGGGCAGGGCCCCATGCTCCTCCCTTTTTGGGATTAGATGGTGGCTGCCCAGGCCTGCTGGGTTGGAGACTCACAGGCTCTGCCTACTTATTCAGGCTGCCTGTGGGGACGATGGAGTTACTGCTTAACCAGGGTACCTGCCTCAGCTCCAGCAGACCACAGGAGGCTGGCCCCAGACTCGCTCAGTGTCTCCAGGAGCCGTGCAGACACAGCATCCTTGGCCACCTCATGCCCATCCTGCCCATCCATGGTCAGCACAACCCAGATGAGGCCACTGAAGGGCACTGGATGCCCAGGGATCACCACCTGGTACCAGAAGTGGTGCCAGCCAGCGGGGCCTGTGCCCAAGCACTTGGTGAGGAACACTGGGCTGCCTAGCTTCATCTGCTGACACAGCAGCTGCAGGGCAGCTCGAGCCCCTTGGGACTCTAGCTTGTCCCTAGCCAGCACCAAGTGGCTACCCTCTGGCTGTAGGCCCCTTGGGGAGGGCCCCACAACCTGCTGCTGGCGGAGTCGCTGCTTCAGGTCTGGCTTGAGCCACTCCACAGCCACCTGCTCTCCACAGAGGCGCGACTGCCCTGCAGAAAAAAGGCAAAGGCAAGACCAGTCTTAGCCCTGGGCCAAGTAAGCCCCGGCCTGTTAATTTCCAGCCTCCCATTTCCGGGTGGTGTGACCTCTGGCACATTCAGTGACTTAAGGCCTCATTCTATTTGTAAAGGGCATGTGGTAACCTCTGCCTTCTAAATTTTCCTGGAGGCTTACTGGTAAATGCTAGTTTTGCCCATCACATAATCATAAAGTAGCTCCTTTACTGTGAATTCTTGCCCGGATGTGCTAAGTACCCACTTAATTCTCACAACAGATGACAGTCTCAGTTGCACTGCCTTGGGCAAGTCCCCTTAAAATAATCCCTTCCCTACAGAGGAGGTCATTGTGTGTGTCTGTGTGTTTTACATTGGAATGTTGAGGGTTAAGCCAGGAGATAAATATGAGGGAAGTGTTAAATTTAGGTAAGCTGTAGTGCCACTGGGAATTTAAAAATCTTGAGTTCAAATAAATAGTATAAGTTTGCAAATTCGGGTATTTCTTGACCCTAAGATATTTTGACTCTGCCAGCTGTAAAGTATTTGGCAGAACTGTTGCCCCAACCAGGGGCCTCTGGCAGACTCCACTCCTACCTTCCATCAGGGCCTTTTTGGCCATGGCTGCGGCACGGTGAGAGCTGAACTTGAGCAGTGCCATTTGCGTGGGTTCCGACCCGGGGCTGGGCAGTAGCAGCGCCTCCTGAAGGCCCGGGCCCAGCGGCTGCAGCGCGAGCAGCAGCGCGCGGCGGGTCAGAGCCGGTGGCAGCCCGTCTACACTCAGCTCGCATTTCTCGGTGCTGAGGCACACGAGCAGCGGGCAGGAGGGCCGCAGCGGGTGGTTGTGCAGCGCGGCGATGGCGGCCTGGGCCCCGCGCCGCGAGCTGTAGCGGGCATAGGCGAAGCCGCGGTTCAGGCCGCTAAAAGTCATCATCAGGCGGAACTCGTAGAGACGGCCCACGCGCTGGAACAGTGGGATCAGCTGGTGCTCGTACACGTCCTGGGGCAGCCTACCGATAAACACTTCCGACCCGGGCGGCGGTGGGCTGCCTACCCAGCCTGGGGAAAGGGGACGGAAGGGCACCGTCATCCACCGGGATGTTCCGGGGTAGGGTCCCGGGACCCGGCACGGGAGGGGCCGAGTGAGTACACGTCTGTGAAATGGGTGCAACACCTGTACCCCGGGTCTTTGGCGTACGCGGGTGATTAGGCTAAACAGGGGCTGGCACAGAGTAGGAGCACTTAAGACTCGCTCCAGTCCTTGAGGGGGCGGGTGGGTGGAAAGCCACAGGCAAGGCGTTTCCACCTTTGCTGGGGGAGGGGGTAAGGGGAAGTTAAGAGTTTCTGATTGTGGAAAATTGGGGTAAGCGCCTCCCCCAAAGGGGCCGCTCGGGACCACTGAGGCTGGTGTAGCCCAGTAGGCGTAGGACTGTGACTAGTGTACCTGGGGGTGGCCCGCCATACTTCCTCTGCCCGTTCACTTGCACCAGACAGATGCCCGTCTCCCTGACCCACGCCTCCAGCGCCGCCTTGTTCTCCGGATTCACCCTCTCACACCACAGCTGAAGGGGAAGGGGCAAGTTGGAATGGCGGATCACCGCGCGCGCCCCCATCCCACTCCCCGCGCAGGTGGAACTCGTCCACCGTCGTTGCCACTCACCTCACACTCCCGCTTGGACTGCATGGCTCTTGTGTGGGCCCGTCGGTGCTCCCTTTTATAACCTCCTCCCTGTCCGCCTCTGGAAGCTTCCCTACCCCCCCCACCCACCCCCCGAAGCTCTCATTGGCTCCGAGCAGGACCCCGCCCCCCAAGAGGGGGTGGGGGTATCTGCCGCACGTGCGCTGAGACCCTCAGGTGAAAGTTGGAAACGCTGGCGGTTGAGTTTGCAGGCCGCCCCAGCTCCAAAGACAGCTGGCAAACCGGCACGGAGGGTTGCTGGAGGCAAGGACGCAGGGGGCACCCTTCACCCTGGGCGAGAGCCTGCTGTAAGTCTTCCTCCCCATTTTCCACCGCGAAAGTGGTCAGGCTCTGACAGGAAAGGCAGGGCTAGGCAACAGCAACACAGGCAGGCGCCAGTGGTTGAGATCCTTTATTGCACCTTTAGCGACTGGTTTGGGGGAGCAGTCCCTTCACCTGGTGTAAGGCCCTGCAGAGGAGGCTGTCCCTGTACCCCAGACTGGACCGAGCCCCCAGGGCCTCCTATGGAAAAATGGCACAGTTCCTGGCTCTTTTAGCCTGTGACAACCAATAGAATAATAATAATAAAAGTAAAAAGTCTCTGTTCAGACTACCCTTCAGGTTTTCCTGCTGGAACAGAAATGTGCAGATCTGTGAGAGAACGTATGCAGAGTTTTGTCTGAGCCCCAGGAGTCTCTGTCCCACTTTCCTCGGACAGTTCATTCAGCAGATGCAAAGGGGCTTGCTTGTTCTCCGTTTGATTTCCTTCACAAGGTCTTCTCTTCGGACATCCACCTGGCCAGGACAGGGGAAGAGAGTGGTACGTATAGTATAAGCACCTTCCACTCCACTTCTCCCCGAGAGCCCATTCCTTCCTCAGATCTTCTTTGGTCTTGGCTCAGCTGGGAGCAGGGACCCAATCCAGCATTCAGGGTGGACAGTGCTGCTTGGGGGTGTCTGTGGGGATGGAGTCTTTACCCTACCATGGCCCTAGTAACAGGTTAAAACCCCTTCAGTCCTTTACAAGTGGGTACTAACAAGAATGCCAGGCTTTTGCTCCGGTCTTAAAAGGGCAATGGCCTGCTGAAAGGGCGTCCATTCCCCGTCCCGCAGCCTTCCTGCCCGCCAGCTTACCTCCTCTCTGCTGGCCACCGAACGGAGCTTGATGACTCCGTCCTTGAGCTCCTGCTCACCGATGATGGCCACCAGTGGGATGCCTGCCTCCTCACAGTACTGCAGCTGGTTCAGTAACTTTGGGTTTTTCTTGTAAAGCAGCTCAGCCTGCAGGGGACCCGGGCAGAAGATGAAGGCTGACTTCTGCCATCCTCAAGGATAACCTCCTGAGGGCCCAAGCTGTCACTGTGCTCTTAGTTCCACCCCAAGAAATCATAGACCAGCAGGGTCACTGTGGCCGAGCTTTTACTTAGTCTGTGCCCAGCGCGCCCACTGGCTGCCACCCCGGGGCTTGCCTCCTGTACCTTGATCCCGGCGTCCCACAGCTCCGAGATGAGCTTCAGTCTCTCCTCCAGCAGCTTCTTCTGTGCAGATGCCACGAGCACCTGTGTCTCTGTGGTGCGCACCTTCTCCTCCGAAGCCTGGGGAAGGTGCAGATAAGAGTCAGGGAGCAGGGCCACCCTTTAAAACACTTTCAAGGAGCAAAGAAAGCAGGCTCTTGTCAGGCACAACTCAGCCAGCTCCATCAGGTAGCAACTGGGCATCAGGTAGTTCTTCAATGATGTAAGAAATAAACTGACTGGCTTATACTTGTGACTTGCCAGAGTAAATTACCTAGAGCAAAGACAAGATAGCTAATTTGTAGTACCTTCTACCTTATCTCCATTTACCATAAGGGCCCATAAGAATAGTCACACCGAAGAGATACTGAGCCCACCAGGCAATCCCATCACCCCTGGAGTTCTGCTTCCCACTTACTATCTGCCCAGCCAGGAGGGTACAGCCCAAAGGGTACAACCCAGGGTGTGGATAGGGAGGAAGGGAGGAGGCTGCTGCCGCCCCTTGTCTTTTTCTGGAAGACTGTTTTCATAGTTCTTAAAACATGAGATGCCCATTGGAACAGGGACTGCAGCCGGGAGACATGGGAGGTATCCACCCGAGGAAAAAGGACGTGACAGTGGGAAGGTTACTGCCAGAATATTCTCCAGGAGATGAAATGCAGCCAGTTAGTTAAGAGCAGCAGTAACAAAGGAGTGCTTGGGGCCATGAGGGGCCTCCCTGGAGTGACTGTCGGTGCTAGAGAGTCAGGACAGCCACCTGAGGGACCTCACGGCCTCAGACACACTTTTCCCACTTCCTAGCCACGCTGGTTGTCACAGCGTGGCTAGCAGCAAGACTCTGAAGTTGGGTGGCCTGGATTCAAATTCTGACTCTGCCACTTAAAAGATTCATGACTTTGGGTAAAATATTTAACCTCTAATCTTCAGTTCCCTCATATGAAAAATGTAAATGTTAAAGTAGCTACTCTCAGATGGCTGGTGTAGGAATGTTATTAGATAATGCATGAAAAGCACTAAGCACAGTGCCTGGCAGAGAGGAGCAAACTATCAAGTATCCTGTGTTGTGAGGAAGATCTGGGTTGTTAGATACCCTGGCCCAGATTCCTGACAGCTTCAAGGGAAGTGGGCCCCAAGAAAGACACTTGTGAAAGAGAACAGTCAGAGAACCATAGAGCCAGCCCACAATGGCACGGGAGTCCACGAAGCAGTGCTTACCTTCTCTCTATTTCTCTGCAAAGACGCGCCTTGCCCAAAATAGCCCCACCTGCCCCCTTGGAGATCAAAGAAGAGCTCAGGGGCCAACACCTACCCAGACTGTCTTCTCACCTCCAGCCTCTGCTCCACGATGGAGAAGATCCGCTCCACTCCAATGCTGAGCCCCACGCATGGCACCTTGCGCCCTTTGGGGTCAAACATGCCCACCAGCCCATCATAGCGCCCTCCAGCGGCCACACTGCCCACACCCAGGGGCTCCTCCCCGGCCTGGGTTGGGGTCTGTAGCAGCACCGCCTCATAAATCACCCCGGTATAGTAGTCCAGCCCTCGAGCAAGGCTCAGGTCAAAGGAGATCTGCAGGGACAATAACATGGTCAGTACCAGATGACAGTCAAGGACCCAAAGCCCCTAAGCTCAGGCGGGGGCCCATCCCCAACCGTACTCACCTTGTCAGTGATGCCAAACAGGGTCAAGTACTGGAACAGCAGCATCAGGTCTCCCAGGCCCTCTAAGGCCTGCTTGTTTTGAGACAGTTTAGGGTCCTGGAGCAGCTGTTCCACCAGGGATACCCCACCTGGGGAGACAGATTTGTGAGCCAAACTGACTGACCGAAGAAAAAGGTAGGGGATCTTTTTGCTGGGACTGCGCATGTGCATGTACTTGCTCTCCCTCCTCCCTACTTCTCTCTCTCCCTTCCTCACACATATACACACAAAGAAGACGTGTGTATCCTCCTTTAGGGCAGTGGGATGGCTGCTGGGGAGGCAGGGTCTGTTCCTCACCATGCTGCTGGACATAGTTCCCAATGCGGTCAGCCACCTCCGGTGCGAGTCCCTTCTCGCCCACCATTTCACTCTTTACATCTTCCCAGGGCACCTGGGTACAGACAGCAGTCAGGGACCTTTGGGTACCTTCCCCACCACAGAACAAGTATGGGCCCTCCTCACAGGGCAATCTTGGAGCAGAAGCTGCCCTTCAACCTATGTTCTGAGGCTAATTTTCCCCTGGTGGGCACAGAGGCAGCCCCCCCCCCCCTTATCTTATTTTCCATTTCTCAAGGCAGGGAGGGATCTGAGAATAAAAGAGTTGGGTGTTTGGTCATCACCTTGTCCAGCTTGTCCACCGAGGAGCAGATGGTGCGGAACTTGCTATCGGGAACCCCGCAGATCGCAAACATCCCATCTAGGATGCGGCGATCGTTCACCTGCAGGCACCCAGGGCACACTGAGGAAAGAATCTCTTTACATGACCCCCAGTAGCCTTGGTCACTTAGGCTACTGGGCCCTCTGCACAGAGAGCCTCTCCTGTCAGAGGCCAGGCCCAACACTGCCCTCCCATCCTCATTCAGCTCTGACCTTGACCAAGAAGTCACCTATCTGAAGTGAATTCAGGATCTCACATACGATCTTCAGGCACTCTGCATCAGGGATCATGGGGTCAAATTGCCCAGCAATGTCAAAATCCTATAGGGAGAGGGGTAGTTAGGGGTCCTCAGGGGTGTAAATTTCTTAGGAGGGGATTCCCAGGGGCTCTGCTCTGAGCGCCAGTTCGCTGTCATGCATAGACCTCCTTCACTCTCTGATCATCAGCCCAGGAAAACTCAGCATTATTGGGGGCCTCTTACTGTCCTGGTTTCCTTCCCATCTATTGGGTTATTCCGTCATCCTCTTACTCATTACTTTCCCTCATTTCCTCCTACCACTGCGGGGGCAACTATACAGCCTTTGTCTTTAGTCATTTTCTCTATTTATTCAGATGCTCTGCCCAGCAGACTGGATGTGCTGGTACCTCAAATCCAATTTCCTCATCTTTTGCTGTGATCCTGTCACTGTGGTTTAATATGAAGAGCACGGGACCAAGTTCTAATGCCGACTTTGCCTTTCATATACCTATGATCTCTTCATCCTGCTCAGTCTGTAGTTTACTCACATATAAAATGGGGAGAATCCCTGTCCTCCCCTCCCCACAGGACCTTTGTGAAATGTACATGAAAATACCAAAGAAACCTGAGGGTCAGCATTATCTGGGGGCGTCCAGAGTGCTCAGGGCTCCAGAAGTACTCGGCAGACTCTCCTGGTTCAAGGGGTGGCCAGGTGACCCACATACTCACACACTGGTAGAATTCCCGGTATCGACCGCGGGTCATGGCTGGGTTATCCCGCCGATATACTTTTGCTATGTGGTAACGTTTAATGTTGGTGAGTTTATTCATTGCCAAATATCGAGCAAAAGGAACCTGATGACAAAGGGTTAAGGAGAAAGCCCCTTCTTTCACAGCCTGGAAACTGATTA